GTTTGATATGGGCCATGCTTCCCATAACCACCACCTGGCCGCTGCAGAGAGCCCAGCAGCGATGACCGTGTAACTAAGCCGAGTCACATGCATCATTACATCAAGGAGTCAGACATCCTGCATGAATCTCTCTCCAGTTTCTGTATGGTTGTGAAATTGAAGGGCATGTAGAAAAAAACTTTCACCATGTGAAAGTTTGTAACACTTGTGACAATAATTCAGTTTGGTTTTATGCACAGTGTAATATTTCTCGGGATATCATCCAAGATTCCCCAGACAGAGCTTCCGCCCTCCTCCGGTGCTGGCCTCGGCCAGTCCTTCAGGCCTGTTCGCTTACACTGCTGCCAGGACATTGCATCCAGTTACCTCCCGTTTCTAGAGCATATTTGCTACTATTCTTATTGAAACCAATGAAAAAAATTGATGTTTTTTGCAATGGCAATTAAAGTTTTTGTTCCACGGGGAAAAAACATTCTTTCTGAGTGTTGGACATAGGGAAGTTCTGACTTTATACACTGATTTTTATGTATCCCAGTGACAGACCACCTCCCCCGAGGGGAGGCAGCCTGCCTGCCGGCCTGGCCCCTCTCCCTTTCCAAGAAGAACCGCGAGAGCCTCCTCTGAACCCCAGGGAACAGACCTCCAGATCCCGATACTGGGTAAAGAAAGAGAACAGGACTTTTGTTTTTCACGCTTATTCTCATCTCAGAGTACATATCTAACTTGACTTCCCACCCCCTTGCTTCCCTTTCGATGGAAATGCCTTCATCAAATACTAAAATCCCAGCCCTGGCCGGTGTGGCTCAGCGGTTGGAGTGTCAGCCTGCGGACCAAAGAGTCCTACGTTCGGCCCCCACTAGGGGCATGTACCAAAAACGGAAAAAGAAAAATACTAAATCCCAATGCAGATGAACTTAAGAAATACTTCCTGATACACCAAAGAACTTCTATGCATGTATGCCTAACCAATGGACACAGACAACAATATTGGCAGTAGGATGGGGAGGAGGGTATTGGGGGGGGGGGACAAACATCTGTAACAAAAATAAATTAATTAAAATTGCAAAAATATATATCAGAGTAAGTATAACCCATAAATGGGGTCTAGAAGGTGTTGTGTGTTAAGGACAAAAGCTGAGGTAGTGTAGGGTGATGGGTGGAGAGTGGGGTGTACTGTCAGTGGGGTGGTCAGGGAGGGCTCATGGAGGCTCTAACATGTGAGCAGGTGTGGGAACTGGCTGTGCTTGTGGGGACTAGGGTCAGCAAAGCTCATGCAAAGGCCCTGGGGCTGGAGTGTTCAAGTAGCTACCAGGGGTCCCATGGGGCTGGAGCTGGTAGGGTAAAGGGGTTGTAGAGAATATTAGGAGATGAAGTCAGAGGGTAGAAGGGGGTTCAGATTGTGTAGGGCCTTGAAAGCCATTTGAAGAAAGTTGGGTTTTACTGAGTGAAGAAGGGAGCTTTTGAAATGCTTTGAACAGTGGTGTGAATGGGTCCCTCTGGGAAGGGATTGCTGACCGCTCAGAGGGGCGAGGCAGAGGGCAGGTGCCAGGTGGCGATGCAGAGAGGGAGCACAGAAATGCTGATTCAGGGGTGTCCTGAGGGACTGCACGTGGGGAGAGGGGATCCAGCACAACTACCGAATGGGCCTGAATCACTGCAACGATGGGAGGCTGGGTTGGGGGATGTGGGGCACTGGTGGGATCAGCTGTGGGCCTGTTCATCCCAGATGGCCAGCTGACCTCTGGGCAGGAGGAGCGGGTGGCCCTCTGCGTGGAGATGAGAGGGTACACAGGACACAGGTGCCCACCAGGAGGGGGTCGGGTCCAGCAGGAGCCGCCCAGCCCAGGAGGGGCCAGGACGCTGCTTGAGCTGGGCTGCAGAACACGGCCCTGCCTCCTCCCGCCCAGCAGTCTGGGAGCTCTCCTGGCTGTTCTTTGATGTTTATTTCTCCAGATGAATTGTGGGATCAGATGACGTTGTTATCTTATTAGACCCTACTAATCTTAATTCCCATCTAGGCCAGCATTTTATCCAGATGCTGTGTCAGTTGGGCCGGTGGTTCTCCGCTGGGGTCAGGGGCACTGTCCTCCAGGGGACGTCTGGCGATGGCAGCAGGAAGTGTGACTGTCACGACTGGCTGGCCCTCTGGGAGAGCGCAGGGCGGCCCTGCTGGGAACAGGGTCTGTGAGCCTGCGGGCTGCCCCGGGCCTGGCCTCTCCGATGCTCTAGAGGCTTACAGAGCAGACGACACGTCTGTTGTGGACCTTTTTCACCCTCTTCGGCTCTCCAGGTTCTGAGCCCTTCTTGTCGTGAAAGATCCACTGGGCGGTGTCCACGGTCCCGGAGCCTCCCAGAAGCGAACAGCCTGCGCTGTCCCGGGCCCTCAGGTCGGGGGCGCCAGCGGAGACAGCCGGGATCGCAGAGGGGTCTCCGCCGAGGCTTCCGTGGAGGCAGCGGGTCCTCGCGGGCCACTCTGGGGCAGGGTTTGGGCCCTGCCGCTGGCTGTCCGCCCAGGAATTCGTGGGCTTTAACTACCCTCCTGATAGACTCCCGTCCGCTCTGCACTGGGCTGTTTCTGCTGCCGCGGCGGATCCATCCCTCCGAGAGGCTCAGACACCGCCGTGAGGTTCCCCCTGCCGTAGGGGCTTCCCATCGCTCAGAAGGTGCAGGAGTGTGGAACTTGGGGTATCACGCGTAGGAAAGTCTCCTGCCCAGAACACCGAGAGCCAGGCGGTGGCTCGTGGGGCCGGGCGAAGGGCCCGCGGTCAGCAGCTCCGACCGCAGCCCCAGAGAGCAGCAGTCGGGCCCACGGTCTCTACAAACCGCGACCCCGGCTTGTGGAAGAGCGCTTCCCACACACGTGCGCTCGTTCGGTTCTTCAGGAGTGAGAGCTGTGATGGCCGGCAGCTCACAACTGTAGGGCAGATGCCGCGGCCCAGGTAGGCGGGTGTGGCCGAGCAGGAGCCGGACCAGGCTGCGGGGAGGGTCAGAGGCGCAGAGCAGGGGAGACAGGCCAGGGCACAGCAGAGGTAACGGGATCTCCTTTCTTCCTCTTGTGCCTTCCTCCCCTTGTCAGCACCCTGATCCAGGTGGGAGGGGCGAGGGCAGAACACTGAACCGTAAACAAGCCCCTGCCCAGTACCTCCTGGGCCAGTCTTCACGAGGGTTCAAGCGCAGGGACTGCCGGGGGCTGGCATTCCTGGGGACGAAGACGCCAGCTTCACCAGCTCAGACAGGCATCTGCTCAGCTGCCAACGCAAATGTCTTAGAGGCTTTGTAAAGGAACTGAGACCACAAAAAAAGCTGAGGTACGGTCAAAGCCAGACAGAATCTTCCAGAAAAGCACCATCAAAGCCTGGGGTGGATGACCATCTTGCTTTCATTGTTGCTGTGAAATCCAGTGTGAGTGGATGTCCACGTGGAAGCGCCCCTGCGGGAGGCCAGTCCCCAGGGGACACCCATTTCTGGGCCATGCACTGCCCCATTGACAGCCTTCTACATGCCCATGAGGGGGATGGCAGCTTCCACCCAAGGTCAACACAGGGCGGTGTGCACTGCAGGGGACGTGGAGATGCGGTGAGGGCGGTGGTGGGGTGTCCCCAGCACGCTTGCCTCTGTGACAGAGGGAGGCGCTGCTCAGCATCTACTGGGTTTTTCAGACCTTCGGGTGGACCCATCGACTGAAACAAGTATTTACCCTGAAAGCTCAACCTCTATCGAATCCAACAGAACGACCCTCATACCGTTGCTGATGGAAGGGAAGTCCCCCCACGAGTCGAGAAAAACATGGGGAGACTCACTCGCGGGAGATGCGGCCGAGTGGTGAGACTCATCGGGGTGTAAATGGAAGGCTGCCCCTGGGTTCCCAGGGACTCATCTCCTTCCTCCTGCTGTGGAAAAGTCCAATCTGTTTTCATCAATGCCAGAGACAGGGCCGCTGTCCAGACCCGGGGTGCCCGTGACGCTGCGGCTTCCCACAAAGCAGGCTCATGCTCCCTGGCTGACCATGCTGAACTGTCTGACCCCTCTGCTCCTTCCTTGTGGATATAAAGCCCTGAGGCTGACGGCACCTCATACAGGAGCCCAGACTGAGGGAGAGTCAGAGATTCCCAATCGTAAGTCAGAGTGGACATAAAAGGGAGTCTTCGCTCGCTGGACAAACAGAATGTACAGAAAACAACATACAATCAATCTAAGTTAACAATAAACCCGAAAAGAAAAGAAAATCCTCAACGTTAAATATTAAAATCTTCAACGTTAAAATATTAACTTCGGTGTGAAATGAATATTAACCAATTTATTTACTAACCAATAAATATTAACCAATTTTTTATTAGATATTTCCATTTCCCTTAAGACAACTGACATGCAGTCTCTTCTGGTGGCTCTGGGACGGGTCCCAGTGGCTTCTGCCGGCCCTGGGAGGCAGCAGGAAGGAGCCCCTTGGGCAGCAGTCAGTGCTCAGCAACGTGAGCGGAGGCAGCGCCCCACCTGCTGGACTCCGTTGCGGGGGAGCTGCTCTCACAGCAGGGCTGGCTCGTGTGGCCTGCCTGCTTCCCCTTGGCTTGCTCAGGGGTGCCCAGAGAAACTCCTTGCTAAAGAATTTCCTAGGGATGCAAGAAACACCATTAAGAACTACCTGACTTTTAAAATAGAGATCTGTGGAAAAGAGCTGTTACTTTCTAAATTGACCAGTGGTTCATGGTCCATTTCTTTGTCCAACGACTTTGAAACATTTAAATAACTGTTGTGCATCTTGGTTTGAGAAGCGAAAAAAGGAAGTCAACATCTGTCCTCCAATCTCAGCCTTTTCCTCAGTGATTCTGACACCGGCTGAGCTGGTAGAAAGCTAAAGGCTTAACATCCAGTCATTAGTGGATAAATCTGACAAAATTTGGACAAAAGAACCTGCCTCCTCATTTCATAGAATCTGTACTCCCAGATCTTGCCAAGATATTCATGGCTTATTGTTACTACTCACAGAGGGTGCCCGTCCCAGGTGACACCATCCCTCCTCACGTGGCCTGCGAGCCTAGGCCCGCACGGCAGCCACGGTCAGTGGGCCTGGGCTGGACATGGGCGCTCAGCTCTGTAAGGAGCTCTCCGGCTAGCTCTCTGGATGCTGGGGCTTCCATACCAAGACGATCCCATCTGTACAAGGTCTGGTCAAGAAAGCCAATAATCTCACGAGTTATCTCATCCGTCTGAGCCATCTGCAATGAGGGCAGAAGAGAAGCCAAATTAGAACACTTTCAGACAGATCCATCTCTGTCCAGAGGGCCAATGGAAACCATCCTGTCCCAGGAAAGCAGCGGCATTCCTACCGGCTCCAAAGGGCCCTGGTTTTGTTTTCGAGGTGACTAGCAAAGCAAGTCTGTTCTGGGAGGCTGGCCATCCGTGAGCAGTCATTCCTAATGCACCCCCCCGCCCCCACGCCACCACATCTCCTGGGATGCCAGCCATGCCGCGCAGTTTGGGGATCACTTCCTCTGGGGAGCAAAGGCTCGTGGACGTGCTGGGGCTGGACTTTCTGCAAAGGCTCACTAATGTGAGAGCTGGAAAATCTGCCGTTCTCATACAAACAGCTTTCTCCATGGCGTTCCTGGGCCAGCAACTGGCAACTTGTTTTTTTAAAGGCATCTGAGGTTTTAATACCTGATTCTCAAGTAATTGTTAGTTGTGCTGAGTAGAGCCTCCAGGGATTCTGAGTTGTTGGTGGCCGTAAGTATTTTGCTAAGAATTTCAGTTCAGCAAAAAAGGGAAGGGCATGAATCTCACAGTTTAGCTGCACAAAGAATTTAATGTGACTTTTTAGACACAAGCCGCACGAACCAGCTGTCTGTTTTTGAGAGTAATCTATGTATTTGTCTGTGGGTGTCAGTTTATATTGAACTCTTAGTCAAAAGTAGCCAGAGCAGCCCAAGGGATAGCCTCCTCCCCTCTCTGCCTGGCACACTGGGGACTGGCCCAGGGCCCAGGACACCCCCCTCTGACTAACGTCATCATCAAGGCAGAAACTGGTAGCAGGCGTCCTAGCAAGTGAGCGCAGTGCCGGAAGCTGGGCACACCTCCACAGCATCAGCCACCTGCAGGGCTCTGCTGGAGGGGGAGGGGCAGGCTGCCCACCGCGAGGGGGCTTCACTGTGACTCTTAGTGTCTCTGTTACCCTCACTTGATTTTTACCTAGATATCGCAGGTGCTGCAGATGACTTTTGTCAGATGCAGTCTCTGTCCTTTGCTTATCCACCACCTAGAACCCGAGTGGGGGAGACCACCTCCCGCTCCACTGCCCAGGGGTCTCCGGGCTCCCCACGCATGCAGGCAGGGTGGCATGGCTGTTCAGATGACTGTAGAGGTCACCCATGTGACCGTGCACCATCTTCACAAGCCAGTCCACTCCAGCCCAATCAAGGACTTGAGTCATATATAAAACCTGCCTCTCTGCAGCTGAGGTCAGAAACTTGCACCCTTGAGGGCTTGGCCGAGGCACACCAGTACCAGCGTTGAGTTTATTCTGAGTCAGCAACCACTGAAATGAAATCCCTACTTCAAATTCCAGCTAAGTTTTGGCTATTATTTTTGTGGTCCAGCAACCAAAGACAGAAGGGAGGGAGAAAAACATGAGCTCAGAGGAGGACAGGAGGCAGAGAAGGTGAGCCTCAGAGGCGGTAGAAATCTGGACGCCAACCAGGCTGCTGTTGCCTCATCCCCATCGGAGGAGCGGAGCAGGGGAGACGTGACAACAGAGACAAGGAGAGGAGAGTGGGGCAGAGAAGCAGAAGAACAGGGCGGGAAGGCACGCGGCCCTGATGAATGAGCTTGGTGGAAAGCTCCCAGAAGCTGAAGGCCAGCAGACACTGATCCCTGGGGCCTATGCGAGGAGCCCGAGGAAGCAGCAGGTTGGGAGCGTCCTATGGAAGAGACTGGGGTGGGAGATGACAGGAGGTGGAGGGACGAACACCTGAACGAAATGGGGTCCCAGCACGGTGGGGCCTGCGCAGAGGGGTGTGGAAGGCCGTGAAGAGAGAGGGCCCGGACACGCAGCCCCGCTGTCTCTCCAGCCTGGAGTGTGCACAGCTCTCAGGGCCAGAGCCGAGGCCAGAGGGGCCAGGCCTGGCAGCCGGCTCTGCTTGGGTCTGAGTTCAGGTCAGAGCTGGCCTGGGCCTGGGTCCCCAGGGTGGTGAGGCCAGAGCCGCCGGCAGAGAAAGGCTGTCCCACAGAGGAAACGCTCCCACCACCGCTCCCAGGCCAAGTGCACCTGGCTCAGGACTCTTTCCAGGGGCTCACAGATAGAGGAACTTAATTTTAGAACACTTTTAGATGTTTAACTTCACTGAAAAGATGATACAGAGAGATCACCTACCCCCTATACCCAGTTTTCCGGTTATTGACATCACATTAGTGTGGTACAGTTTGGACACCAAACCCTTATTGGATATGTGATTGCCCAATATTTTCCTTCATTCCGTGATTTGTCTTTGATGCACGAAGTTTATAATTTTGATGAAGTTCAATTTGTCCATCTTTCTTCTGTTGGCTATGCGTTTATTGCTGTTTTCCAAAAAATCACTGCCATAGCCAATGCCATGAACTGTTCTTCACCCCTCATGGCAGCGGGACGTCAGGCAGGATTTCTTTGTGATGAACCAACGACACTGACCCGCTGCAGTGAGCCCTCTCCCACCACTGGGTCCTTTGTGCGCTGACTGAAAGAAGAGCACCTGGGGCGGCGGGGCCCAGCTTCGATGCGCCTCTGGAAGCAAGCCATGTGACTGGGGAGAAGTCCCCCTCTTTCTCTGAGCCCCCGTCTTCTCCTCTGTGACATGAAGGTGTTGCACAGGGCAGCTCCGGGTCTGCCCAGCTACGACCTCGCTATCTTCCATCCCTGTGTGGAGAGCATCCTGGTACACACACTCATCCAAGGTCGGCCCTTGAGTGAAATGTGAATGAAAACGAGGATGCTAAGAAGGGGACACTTACAAGGCTGACGACTTCCCGGGCAAGCACGTGGCCTCCAGGGGCCCAGAGCAGGAAGCTCAGGAGGAGGTGCCTGATCAGCCGCCCGCAGGCAAGTGGCTGGGGGTCTCCATCGGGGCTCCCTCCAGCTGCTGCCTGCAGATCCCTGGCCGAGAGGGTCGGACTTCTGAGCAGCTTCCTGAGGTGGCTGAGCACTGCTCTCACCTCTGCCTGGGAAGGAGCAATGCAAAGATGAGAGGTTAGGAGTAGTTGGGACACAATAGTTCTGGGACTTATTTGGAACTTTGAAGCAACCTGCCAGAAGGGGAGAGGACCAGTGTCTGGGTTCACACACTGCACCACACAAACCCAAATGGGTGCAATGGAATTTTCTTGATTTTCTTTTGTCCGGCTCACAGAGCAGCTGGGGCACCAGGCCAGGAATTGATCTTTTCTTGTGTGAAGGAAATGAAGAGAAGTCCTCAGCAGAATACAGTCTCTTTTTTTTAATCCTCACCTGAGGACATTTTTTGTTCAGATAGAGTGGGAGGGGGAGAGAGAGAGAGAGAGAGGAGAGAGAGAGACATCGACGTGAAAGAGACACATCGAGTGGCTGCCACCCGCACGACCCATCATCCGGGGACAAACTGCAACCGAGGTACGTGCCCTCAGCGTAAACCAAACCCGGGTCTCTCTGGACTGCGGGCCGACACTCTAACCGCTGAGCCACACAGGCCGGGCTGTCTGATTTCTACGTTGTGGGAGAACAAAAGGCCCCTTGACGACTGCTCACTGTCACAGCCACGCACGGTCGGAGCCCCTGTGATCGGACCTCTGCTGCACCAGCGCTCCTGTGAGAGGGATGTTTTCCTTTTGCTATGTTTGGGGGCTGGGTGAGGAGAAGGACACACACACACACACACACACACACACACACAGAGTTTTGTTCTAGACATTGGGATAGTCTGTTCATATATGTCCAAAGCTCAAGCAGGTCACAAGTCTGTGGAATCCACATAATGTGATTGTTATTGGTCTGGGGGTTGTTTTGCATTAAAAATATTTATTTCATGCTGAGACTTCTTCATGCTGTAAGAATGGTACATCCACTTGTTACTTGGAAAACAAGCAAAAACTGAAAGCCATAGACCTGACTGCCACATGGAACTCACGAACAGCTACGTTCCATCACTTTCGAAAAAATACTTAGGCCTATTCTGCGAATTCCCATGACCAATTTTATGGATTTTGTGTGAGTCTTTTTCTCTGGACGTTAAGGCCTCACTCAGTGAAGGCTGTCATAACCCCAGGACACGAGGAGCCCTGTTTGACCTCCCAGGACAATACCGACCCTGGGAAAATGCACGGCGGGGCTCCTCTGCGGGAGCGGCCGTGTCCCAGCAGCAAGGCATGATCACCACCGCTCTCCTGGTGGCTGGGCCCAGCTGCCGTTTCTGATGGCATCTACGGGAACCCACAGATGCCATCCAGATGGGTCTGCAAATACGTCAGGGCTCAGGAACCTGCATTCACAGTCTATGCACTGTCTCCTTGTCTGGTGGCCTGGAGACGCGCAGACCACCTTCCCTTAAATGCCTTCCTGACATGCCAAAAACAAAATGCTTTCTCATTTTTTTCAGGAGAAGATATAAGCTTTCTTTTCTAAGTATTACCTTTTATTTTGCATTATGAAAATACATTTATGTTTACTATGGAAGATCTAAACAAAAAACTAAAAAGAAAAAAATTAAAATGACCCATAACTCCATCAAAAAAGACTCAATGTTAATAACTATGTTTACAGCCCGTGCATCCTTTTCTATGCATTGTGACCATAGCACTCACTACACACAATATTGTGTATCTTAGTTTTTCTCTTCACAATGCACCTTAAGTAATTTGCCACGTCTATAGCATGTATTATCTGAGAACCTGGTTTTGTATGGTAGAAAGCTATCCCACAGTTGGAGTACACCACAGTATTTAGCTAACATCCTTCCTGTTGAAAGTTGAGGCCATTTCCATGCTCGCCCTCACAAAAGACGCTGAGAGGATATTCTTGCACGTAGATATTTATACGGCTCTCTGGCTCCTTAGGGTAATTCCTAGGAATGGAGTGACAGGGTTGAAGAGAATGAACCCTCGCCTAATTCCTGAGGGTAGACAAGTACAGAACTGCTTTGTTTCGATCGCGATCCAGTGCAAGGCTAGCAAAGGCAGAGGAACACGGGCTGCAGGGGCACGGCCGGCGGGGGCGGGGTGCAGCAGTGTCATCCTGGCAGAGACCGTTGTTCTTTGCTTCCCCAATGGGGAAGCTCGAGGACAGCCAGCAGAGGCCAGGACTCCAGCCACAGGCCACTCCTGACCTCATTGTGCCTTTCAAGGCACAGGCACGGCTCTTGTCAAGCTCACTCGAATCTCACAATCATTATGCTTCAAAGGCAGTTCGCCGTTTACTTCTCAAGTCACCCAACAGATTGACCATCAAAATGAATAAAACTCACATAACTCCGGCGAGCAGGAGGTCTGTATCACTAGTTAAAGCGGGGGTGGAGCCCGCCCACTCCCTGGCACTCACGCACACCAGTGCCGCAGGCTGGGCGCCGAGGAGGCAGGGGCAGTCACCAGGCGGACAGCTGCCTGGCAGCACTGCCAGGAAGGAGCAGACGCAGTGGCACTGCCCATCTGCGTGTGCCGATCCGCTTTATCAGGTGACGGGCCTCTGCACCGTGAGAACTATAGGTTTTAGCACAGAAAGGATCGAGTTAACAAGTAGAAAGATGTGTCAATGCAGAACTTTCTAGAAATTAAATCTAAGCAGACCGTTTCTCTACAATAAGTGAAATACGCCCGTCAGAGAAAGACAAATATCACATGATCTCACTTACATGTGGAATCTAATGGACAAAATAAACTGATGAACAAAATATGTCCAGAGGCATGGATGCACGGCACACACTGACAGAGCTCAGCGGGGAGGGGTGGCGGGGCGGGAAGAGATTAGCCGAAGATCCTATGTGCAGAGCCCAAGGACACAGACAGCAGTGCAGTGAAGGCCTGGGCTGGGGTGGGGGCTGTGTGGAGGGGGGAGAAGGGGGAGGGGAATGGGGGACATCAATAATACTGTCAACAATAAAAAATAAATTTAAAAAAAGGTGAAACTGTCAGTTTCTATGATCAACATATTTGAGACATAACCTACCAACTTAGCTTATACATAATAAAATACAAAGTATATATAAAAGGGCTTTAGAAATCAATAGAGCTTCATACGTTTTCATTATTATTATAAGTTGACAAAAACATAAATTAAAATTTTCCTTAATTAGTTTAATGTGATATTTTACTAGGAAAGAAATAGTAGGCTTCCTTTTTAATTAGGTAGCAATCCTCAAATGCATATGTGGATTGTCGTATAGTGTTCTGTTTTTTGGTTTAATCCTCACCTGAGGACATTTTTCCATTTTTTGTTCAGATAGAGTGAAAGGGAAAGAGAAGAAGAGAGAGAGAGAGAGAGAAACATCGATGTGAAAGGGACACATCGAGTGGCTGCCACCCGCACGACCCAACCAGGGCCGGGAACAAACTGCAACCGAGGTACGCGCCCTTAGCGGGAACCGAACCTGGGTCTCTCTGGACTGCAGGCCAACACTCTTAACCGCTGAGCCAAACTGGCCAGGGCTAGTGTTCTGTTTTTTATCCAAAATATATTATCATCATATTTCAACTTTTAAAAATCCCAAACTCTTTTCTTCCTGCTGCCATGCAAGCCTTTAACCATGTAAACTACCAGGCGTTTCTGCCCTGGTCTCAGCTCTGCTCAGACAACGGAGAAACAGAAAACACCCAGCTCTCCGCTTAAGGAAACCTGCTCCCTTTAATTATTAAAATCAGCAAAAAACACTGGCAGTTGAAGTTTTAAAAACCAACAAATAAATGTTTGCAAGGGAGGTGCCAATGCCTTTAATCAAAGCACTGCTTCCTGTAATTATTATATTCCACATAAAATAACCACTGTCTTTGCCACAGATGGTTAGCCAGGCCTGTATTTAGCTGCTCTGTTATTTAGGAAATGACCAAGTCCCTTTTCAGAAGCAAAGTGGTTAATATCATGTGATTACTTCAGTAAGAATTCTAAACAAAGCCAGTAATGTGAGGACCTGTTGACTGATCCAAGAAAGCAGTAAGTGCAGACGGAAGCAGACACAGCCAGGCCGCTGGTCCAGAGACACAGCTCCTCAGACGAGCGGTCAGACTCTGCAGGCATCCCCTGGGCGGCCAGGGCAGCGGAGCGAGGACAGCGACACAGGCAGAGGGCTGCACCTCCTCTCCTCAGTGCTCTCCAGGAGAGCAGAGTGGCAGCATCTGGTCCCCAGTCAGCACTGTGAACACGGGAAAACCTCTCCAACCCTCAGCCCGGCACAGTCCCTCATCCGGGTGACATCTACGCTACCATAAGGAGCAGGGAACACTCAGCCTCAGGTAGCCAGGGAATTATGAAAGCCAAGCCCACTCCAGAGCCCCTCTCCCAGAGGACCCTTTCCACCCAGGACAGACCGACCCTGATTGCCACACACACCGCGCCCTGCACCCACCATGGTCTGTGCTCTCTGCTGGCACCCGTCACATGGGTTGTAGCCGAATGCCAAGAGCCACAGCAGGGCCTCCGGGGGTTCAGCGTCTGACATCAGTAACTGCTCGGCCACCATATCAGCCCATCCTCCAAAGTGAATGAACAAAAACCAGCTCTCAAAGGGGCCTCCAGAGGACCTGGAACAGAACCAAAACACATGGTAGCCAGGCAGCTTGATTTCTTTTCCTTTTGGTTCTTAAAGCAACTGTAATGTTTGCAAACGGTTGGCTTAAATTGTTCCTATCCACTGAAGTACACCAGGAATACGCAGCAAAACAGCTCACAATGCCACTCTGAACCCTTGCAGGGCCTTCAAAGGCATGCCTCTCAAAACCGCAGTGCCCCGAGCACTTCAGACATTTAAATCTTTATATCCAGGAAACTTGAGTGAGTCCAGACCTTGGAGAGAGGAAGGTTTTGGCCCATGACCAGCGGGAATGATGCGAGATGAGAATCTGCAGAGCTGGGCTGCTGTGGAGAGTGGGGCCTCCCAGGTGCTTCAGAGCAAGTGAGGGGCTCCCTGGGGCCCAACGCAGACGACAGCAGGGCACAGCGAAACGTGCTGTTCCCTCTGACAGAACACAGGCTCTGGCGGCTGGCCTGCAGAGACGAGTCCTGAGCGCACTGTGCGCTGTGCTCTCCTGTCAGGGCAAGCACCCACAGCCTCATGGAGCCACCTCCTGTCACACTGAGGGCCCAGGCAGCTCCAGGGGAGGACCCATTAATTTTAGTGACAGGTTAGTGGGTTACCGTTTCCCCTGGAATCTAGGGAGCAAGTCTGGCCAGAGAGCACAAGATCAGAACTTCCCTTGACTGGGGAAGCCCTGGAGCAGGAGCGCGCGGCCCTATTCCTCTGCTGGGCCCATGGAAGCCCAGAGCACTGAGAACTGTCCTCACCTCCCCTGGGCACTGTGCCCTCCTGTCCAAGTCCTGCCTGAGAACAACTGAGGACATGCTCTGAAATTCAGCTGCAAGTCCACGGGGAGAAAGGAGGGCGCGCATTCTCACTCGTGCCCATGGAGGGAGAGCGGATGCTCCGTGGGCCATGCTAGTGGTGGGCTGGGTCACGATGCCCCAGAAGCAAGGAAGAGGCCCGGGGTGCCTCCCCTGCAGCCCTCACCAACAGTCAGCTGAGCAGCGTGAGCAGCGGGGCTCTTCCGCTCCCTGCTCCCAGTGGGCATTGTGCTTGAATCAGGGTTGCAGGCCTGCACTGCAGATGGGCCTGGTCGTTCTCCCTCTCCTGCCAGTAACTGTGTGCGAGGTAGTCCCATGCAGCTGGCTGAGAAAGTGCCAGCCTGTTCACAGACCCCTCCCTGCAGGTGGACCCCAAAGTCTAGTTAGGGCAGATCCAGGTTAGGCAGGAGTCCTGGAGGTTTGGGATCTAGGCTCTGCTCTTCGACAGAGGCAGCCAGAAAAGGTGCGGGTGGGGCTGCAGGTGCGAGGCCATCAGTGTGGCCCACACTCGAATCCCTATCTGCCACCAGTTCTTCTCGTCTCTTCTGCTGGTAAGCAGCATGGTGGACGGCAGTGGGCAGTGACGGGCACCCTGCAATCTGTGATGCTCAGCTATGACGTTACAGGGAATCTGAAGAGGGAAAACCGGCAACCAGAACAAATATAAAGGCAGTCTTGTATGCTGGTATAGATAATGAATAAAATACTATTACTCTGAAAGCAAGAAATTTAAGAGGAAGCTGAAGGATGTTACATTACAAAGACCTTCAAGCCTAAATGTGAATGCTTCTAGGAAAATAACACATGTAAGAAGGTACTTAATACCATAATATTAGATAGGATTTTTAAACTTTGGATTAAATATTTATTACAAAGAGGAGGAAAGGGAAACAGGTCATCCTACTGTACAGGAACGGTTCAGAATTTCCTCCTCAGAGAGGCAGAGAGAAGAAGACCAGAGGATCCGAGCCAGGGGGTTCACAGCATATGGGCACTGCTTTTATTCTAGGGGCTATTCTTTTTAGTTATGCTTGGATATTTCACAGTCTAACGCTGTGCAGGTATCTACATGCACCTGCTGTGCATCTCTAGTCTTCCTCTGCTTCTTCCTCAGTGGTGTGCTTACCTGTCTGGGGCTGGTCACAGATGAAGAACGCCTTTCCATCAGCCCTGCTAAAGGGAAGGGAAGGGAAGGATCTGGAGAAACCAGGTGAGAAGCAGCCCTGGGAGTCATCAGTGCTGGCTTACCCTTGAGTCTGGTCTTCCACTGCTGCTCTGAGCATTTCAGAAATATGTTTCAGTGGCTGGTGCCATAGTCCCCGTGGGATATCTGTGGGTGGAAAGAGAGCGGAGGGGAACTGAAGGAGAGTCAACCCTATCAGGCAGGAGTCACCTGCAGCTAAGGGTGGAAGAGACTGAGGAAAGGCTGTTCTTTTTTCCTGGTCAGTGGAACCCAGCCCAGCCTGCTGCTCTCATACAGTTCCCAGGCAGCAGCCATCTCCATGTCTGGGGAGAAAGACCCATTGACGTTGCAAAAGCTACATCTCAGGACTAACCTGAGGCACACAGGGGTCTGAGACTGCAGAGCAGCTCACCCTGGGATGTAAAGATGCTACGCTGCAGACACCCAGGTGTTTTCTTTTCTACTGCCCATGCCCTCCATTTCTATCCACTCATGACTTCTGAATGTGTGGAACTAATAGAACAGTCAATAAGGAATTAGGAATGGGCTGCCCAACTGGTTTTCTATGATTGAGATGAATTCAGAACATGATTACAGGTTTACAGTAAAGAAAAGGCCAGGAAAAAATATATGGGTATCACACGCAAAAATGCCTTGAGTTGGTTTTTCTGGTTTCACAATTACCCTATGATTTTAAACACATCTGAATATATATGTATCTGCAGTTTGAAACAATATCTGAAAAAGGGTATCCTATTTGCATGTAGTGGTAGATTCTATAATTAAATACCCAAGGAAGGTAATGCAAATAACAGTCACCCCACTGCTACTCTACAAATGTTACAGATTAAAAGATCATATATTCTCTCCCTCCCTCCTCCGAACTCCCAGAACTCCTGACGAGCAGCCTTTGATGGCATTTTCATTTTCTTCTTATTAGTTGTTTAGATGCTTACTTCATGTCCCCTCTACTTACAGCTCCTAGAGTCAGGGCTCATAAGTGATCTGTCTTTTATGCCCCATAGGATTTTACAGTGGGCACAAAATCAATTTCTGATGAACGGAAGATTCTACCATCAGAAACACTTCAATTTGTGGATGTAACATTGTGTTTTCTAAAAGTAATGTGCAGAAAACTGTTCCAGAAACTACACAGAAGGCTCCTGTACCTCTGCTTGGATTTCCTTCTTTTGGATGAAAACCGGGACAGGCACACCAGGAACAGGAGGTAGACTGAGTCCATGCCTGTACATAGCCTTGGTCTTTTGTTTATAGATTTCCAACTTAAAAATTAACAACTCTAATACTTTGCCTTGAATTCATTCAGCTTCTCATGCAGGCTGACCTCAGGCTTCGGTGATCTGACTTAAGCTATGAGGTGCAGCCCTGGAAAACGATACTGACTTTTCTGTCTTGTTATTTGTTTTCCCATTGTGTTTCTGCAGGTTAAAGTTCACAAAACTGTTGACCAGAGATCCCACCAGGCCCATCACCACATCTACCTCCAGATCTGAGTAGACATTGTCAGATGGGCCACCTTAGATAAGAATCTACATCTTTCAGAAAAAAGGAAGAGGAATCAGGTTTTATAAAACGCTGTGAAACCTGAATCATCTACTTTCCTTCAGTGAATCCACTTACCCAAGTCTCGGGGGAAAGGCAAGCAAAAAACAGCGTAAAATGAAGTGCTACTGGTTCTTTTGCTCTTGCCTGTCCTCTTCCCTCGAGGTCAGGTGAGATGCCTTCCTGTCTGGGACCCCGTCTGCACTGCGCCAGGGTGGACACTCCCTCAGACTTCAGGCTTCAGAGGGGCGGTGCCATTGTTCTCTATTTCTCAAATGTTTCCTAAACATGAGCCCACAGGTCCAGTAACGACCAACACCAGCTGAATTAGGATTGAACCGTCACTTCCTCATCTGGTGATGGCCTCCAGGAGACTGGCAAAGAGAATCAGAGAAGGATGTGGTCTAACACTTCCTGAATTCCTTCAAAAGCCTTCCTTTGGCTTGGGTGGGAGAAATTTCCCCTAAACTTCCTTGGCTTCATTCCTCCTTTTCTCTTTTCTTTTCCAAAGGGGCATGGAGCAGAAAGAATGAAATAGAAATAAATGGACTGTCTTATTCTGACTCAGCCAAGTCTTAGCCTGCTCCTGGCATCTGGGTGGATCTGGCTGGCACTGGAGGACCTGTGGGATCCGGAGAGACTATCGAAACTTAACAAGAGGCCTTTTTTTCTTTTTCTCTTTTCTTTCTTTTGGTAAATGATCCTAACTGGGAAGTCAAGCAAATTGTTGTGTCAAAATCCACAGAGAGACTGACCCCGAGAGCGTCAGAGGTTGGGAGGGCTGACCCCTCTCCCTAGCTGCAGGTGAGGCCGGGCGGTGGGGGGGGGGGGGGGGGCTGGCATGGCGGTGCCTTTCCCAGAGCCCGTCCCAGCGGCGCAGCCCGTCCCCGCGTACCTTTTGGGTCCTGGAGCAGCACCATGACCAGAGACGGAGAAGCATATGGAAAGTAAGTCTTCAGTGCAAACTTCAGCTACAACAGAATAAAACATTCGAACTGCATGAACATCAGGATCGGAAGGAATGTGAAGAGAAAAGCTTGTATCCTCTGCTTAAAATGCACCCAGTAGCACTAACATGGTCGGAATGTTTTTCTTAAACATTTAAAAAAAAAAAAAAAGATGCTTCCAGAATGCTCATAAATATGTTCCAGAAAAATAAATCTTTTTGTTGTTGTTAATAATCTTCACCCAAGGACATTTTTTCATTGATTTTAGAGTGGAAGGGGGAGAGAAACATCGATGTGAGAGAGAGGACACATTGACTAGTTGCCTCCTGCCACCACCCCGACTAGGGTCAGGATTGAACCTACAACCCAGGTACGTGCCCCTGACCAGGAATCAAACCCACGACCCTTCCATCTACAGGCCGATGCTCCAACTGCTGAGCCAAACTGGCCAGGGCTAGAAAAATAAATCTTCTAAAAACAATTTTTGGGACTTAAGAAAAATAAAGTTAAGTTCCTCGTGTGTTTATATCAGTTCTTTATCTCACCTCATGTGAACCTAATTATACACATAAATCTTTTATTTAGGTGAGAATTTCCAAGGCAGTTGTGGGATGGTTTTTAACAGCAATAGCAACAACAACCGGAGAACAATGGTACTCACAGCACTGTGTGGGCCAAAGCGCTACACCTGTCTCTACCCCCAGAAGCACGGAACCTTTATGATACCTCTGTAAAAGTTGAGGGGTAAAATCTAGAAGCACTGAAGTGCACCAGCTTTAAGGGTATAATCTGATACGTTTTGGTAAATGTGTGAACCCCATGTGACCACCACTCCACCTGAGAAACACTTCCATCAGTCCCCAAATTCCCTGCTGGCTATTACAGCCAATGCCTCCCCACCCCGCCACCTACCTAGGCAACCAGTACTTGGATTTCGATGAGAGAGATTAGTTTTGTTTATTCCTGAATTTCATATAAACAGAATCATAAGAATATATATTCTTCTGTGTCTGGCTTCTTTGGCTCAGCATGTCTTTTTGAGATTCATTCATGTTGTGTGTAAGTAGTTCATTATATTCTTTATTGCTTAAAAGCAGTCACTGTAGGAATATAGCATACCTGTTTATTCCCTTTCCTACTGACGGGCATGTGGTTGTTTCCAGTTTGGAACTACAATGAACAAAGTTACAGTTAACATCCATGTTCATGTCTTCTTGGAGACAAGACAAGAGCTCTCCCTTGTGCTCAGTGAACACTGGAGGAGCGGAGTTGCTGGACCCAGAGCGGGTGCCCTCTGAGTGTTAGACACGGCAATGTCATTTCCCAGTGGTGTCCCATTTCACACCGCCATCTGCGGTGTATGAGAATGTTTGGTACTGGTACCCAAATCCTGTTCACGACACGACCTATTCCAGTGGGTGTGAAATGTCACCTCATCGTGGCTTTGCTATTCGTTTTCCTGATGGCAAATGAACAATTTTCATGTCATTATTGACAACTCACATATCTTTTTTGAAGTGTACATTCAAGTCTTTTGTCCATTTTGAAAAACTGAGTTGTTCATCATGAGGTTGTAAGAGAGCTTTATTGACAGACTTTGGACACAGTCCTTGGTCAGAATATGTGCTGAAAAAACTTTCTCCCACCTGGTGGACTGCATTTTCATTTTCATAATGATGTCTATCAATGAACAGAACTTTTATCTCATTTATCCACTTTCATAAAATTTAGTTTATCCATTTTTTTCTCAGTGCTTTTCTTAGATTACCCTGACACCAAAAACAAACAACACCCTCCCCCATTCTCCTCATTTTCTTCTAGGAGCTTTATAGTTTTAGCATTTATATTGAAGTCTATGATCCATCTCAAATTAATTTTTGTGATTTGTAAGGTCGGTCGAGTTTCATTTTTTTCCATGTGGATATTCAGCTGTTTTGACACCTTTGGTTGAAAACTTTCCTTTCCCTGTTGAATTGCCTCAGCGACTCTGTCAAAAATCACACATGGGTCTAGTTCTGGACTTGACTCTGTTCCACTGACTGATGTCTGTCGCTTTGCCAATACCTCCCTGTCTTTACTGTAGTTTCAAGTCTTGAATTCAGGTAGTGTGAGTCCTATTTCTCTCTCTCTCTTTTTTTTTGCTTTTGTTTTTCAAAACTGTTCTGGCTACTAGAGGTCCTTTGGATGTCTATATAAGTTTTAAAATCAGCCTCTTAATCTCTATTTTAAAAAGCCTACTGGGGCCCAGCCAGTGTGGCTCGGTGGTTGAGCATCGACCCATGCTCCAAGAGGTTGCTGATTTGATTCCCGCTCAGGGCACATGCCCAGGTTGTGGGCCTAATCCCCAGTGGGGGGCATTCAGGAGGCAGCCAATCGATGTTCTCTCTCACTGATGTTTCTATCTCTCTCCCTTTCCCTTCCTCTCTCTCTCAAATCAATAAAGAAAAAATATTTAAAAAAAAAAAAAAAAAGCCTACTGGAATCACATTGAAGCAGTAGATGCAACTGAGGAAAGCAGGCATCACAACAATTCATGAATATGGTTTCTCTCTTCGTATGTTTAAGTTTTCTTTCATTTCTCTCAGCAATGTTTTGTAGTTTTCTGTGTAGCGGTCTTATCCACCTTTTGGCAAGTTTAATCCTAAGTATTTTTATGTGTGACTGGATCTGTCTATTTCCCTTTTTGCTTCTGTCAGTTTTTGTTTCATGCATTTCAGAACTCTGTTATTAGGCACATTCCTGTTTGTAATCGGCATTTCTCTTGATCAATTTGTCATTATAAAATGTCCCTCTTTAATCTCTGGTCATATTCCTTGTCTTGAAGTCTAATCTGTTTGCTGCTAGTAGACCACACCAGCTTTCTGTACCTAATACTTGAAATCATGCTATATCTCTTTGCTTCCTTTTACTTTAATTTGTGTCTTTATAATTAGAATGGGTCTCTTGAAAACAACATACAGTTGGATCTTGGTTTTCCATTCAAACCAAACCATTTGCCTTTTTACTCCTGTATAATTGTCACCTAACTTCTGTAATTAATGTATTTGTAGATGTGTTTGGGTTTAGGTCTATCCTTTGATATCTTTTGATATCTTTTTTTTTTTTGGTACGTGCCCTTAGTGGGAACTAAACCCAGGACTCTCTGGTCCGTAGGTCGACACTCCAACTGCTGAGCCAAACCAGTCAGGGCATGATATCTTTTTTTTTTTCTGATCTATTTTTTGTTCCTCTGACAACCCATAGGTCTGTCTTTTGACATCTCAAGTCAATCAGATTGTGCCTAGAGTTCTGGTCACCCTCTGACCCCACTTAACCGGCCTCCCATCCCCCCATGAGAGCCCTCAGGGGAAAGTGAGAATAACCAATAGTTTCCTTTTTCACAAGCTGAATCCCCTCCAGTTTCTATCTGCATTTTGCTTACTCTCCAGTGCCTTCAAGTAGGTCTTAAAAATATTTTCCCCAGACTTCGTAATTTTTATGTGTGGGAGATTTATTCCAGTACATTGTCAGATTCTGCCACTACTAGAGCCAGAACCTGAACTGATTTTGCTGTTTGCACTGAGCTGTTATGCAGGCGCAGAAAAAGTGGCCTGTCGTGACAACCTTAAGTGTTTGCCTATTAGTCTGATTGGGCACACTGACTGAGCTGAACTGTGCTCTCCAAACAGGTGAGAGAAAAGGATAACAAGGGAGTGAGAAGCAGTGAAATAAACATTTCAGACAATGGGAAAGAATGTGGATTAGTGGGATTTCTTAAAAACTGCTGGGGAGGAGAGTAATGAAAACAATTTGGCAGTATCTATAGAAGTAGAACGTTTGCATTCCTAATAACCAGCATTTCTACTCTTAAATATGTATCCAAGAATGTTCAGAGCAACATTGGAAAAGAAAACAAAATCTGGAAACCACCCAAATGCCACCACCAGGAAATGCTACGTTGTGGCACTTCACAGCAACATCCCACCACAGCCCCAAACACCACAGAGCAATCCTGGTAGCAGGCTGAATGAAAAAGCAAAGCTCAAAAGGCTGCACACTAAGCTACTCTTGTTCGTTGATTGTTTTCTAAAGTACAAATAAAACATGGTTTGGGATTCATATATGTGATCAGACTATTTTTGGAAAAGCAAAGGAAAGATAAACAAATTCAAAACAGTGGTGGTGGTGGGGGCAGGGTGACAGGATAGAAGAGGACACAAGTACAACTAAGTGATTCCTCTTAGTGCAGGTCTTGTCTGGACGTCATGTTTGCTGATACTCACTTTATTAAGAATGAATACATAAGCGAATGGATAGAACACAGAAAGAAAAGAGGGTAATGCATGAAACATACAGGACATAGGATTTTATGCATCAAATATCATGATTAGCCCAGCCAGTGTGACTCAGTAGTTGAGCGCTGACCCATGCATCAAGAGGTCACCAGTTCGATTCCCGGTCAGGGCACATGCCCAGGTTGTGGGCCTGATCCCCAGTGGAAGAGGCGGCCAATCACTGCTCTCTCTCATCAATGTTTCTCTCTCTCTCTCTCTCCCTATAAACCAACAGAAAGAAAAAAAAATTAAAAAAAATAAAGGATCATGATTAATCTATAAAAGGGTATTCAAGGAGATCAATGATGGAAATGGCTATCAATTAGAAAGGCAGGCAATCAGAAATAGCCTTAGGAAGAGAAATGATATAATATACATGCATGAAGCCATTTGCAAAGGTAAGAGGTTACTGTCCTCTAATTTTGAGCTCAAGGTGAGCGTGAAGAATTCCGGGGTCTTCTGTATCCCTGACCTGCCTTCCACAAGGACCCAGCATATGCCCTGTACCACCCGTTACATGTAGCCTGGTCAGGTACTGTTCTAAATTAAAAGAGACAGAAATAGAACAAACATCCTTAAAATTCTATGGAATCACAAAAGACTCTAAATAGCCAAAGCAATCTTATGAAAAAAACAACAAAGCTAGAGTTATCATGCTCCCTGATTTCTAACTTTATTACAAAGCTATAGTGATCAAAACAGCATGGAATTGGCATAAAAACAGACACATAGATCAGTGAAACAAAATCAAGAGCTCAGAAATAAACCCACACACATACGGTCAACTGACTGCCAACAAAGGAGCCAAAAATATGCGATGGGGAAATTTCCAAGAATTTTCATACTTCCATGAATGGTGCTGGGAATAAATAACCAGCACTTAAGCAGCCACATGGAAATGAATGACGCTGGACCACTATTCTACATCATATGTAAAAATTAACTCAAAATAGATCTGACTCCAAAAGGAAAAGGAACAAAAGTAAAAATAAACAAGTGGGGCCACATCAAACTAAAATGTTTCTACACAACAAAAAGCTTCTAAACCATCAACAAAATGAAAAGGCAGCCTATTGAATGGGAGAAAATATCAGCAAATCATATATTTGATAAAGGGTTAATATCCAAAATATATGAAGAACTCATATAACTCAATAGCAAAAAACAAACAAACAAACCTCAAACAATCTGATTAAAAAATGGGCAGACATTTTTCCAAAGAAGATATGCAGATGCCAACAGGTACATGAAAAGAAGCTCAGCATCATTAGTCATCAGAGTGAGATATCACCTCACACCTGTTAGAATAGCTCTTATAAAAAAAGGTAAGAAATAGAAAATACCCTTATACACTGTTGGTGGGAATGTAAATTGGTGCAACCTCTATGGAAAACAGTATGGAGTTTCCTCAAAAAGTTAAAAACACAACTACCATATGATCCAGCAATCCCCCTCTTGGGTATTTATCTGACAAAAATGAAAGCCCTAATTCAAAAAGGTTTTTGCACCTCCATGTTCACTGCAGCATTATTTGCAATATCTAAGATGTGGAAACATCCTAAGTGCCCATCAGTCGATGAATGAATAAAGACAATGTGGTGACTATGTGTGTAAACACACATATAATGGAATATTACACAGCCATTAAAAATGAAATCCTGTCCGACCAGTGTGGCTCAGTGGTTGAGCTTTGACCCATGCACCAACAGGTAGCCGATTCGATTCCCAGTCAGGACACATGCCCAGGTTGTGGGCCTAATCCCCAGTGGGGGGCATGCAGGAGGTGGCCAATCAATGTTCTCTCTCATCGATGTTTCTCTCTCTCTCTCTCCTTCTCTCTCTAAAGTTAATAAAGGGGGAAAAAATGAAACCCTGCCATTTGCCACAACATGGATGAACCTCAAATATATTATGCTAAATGAAATGTCAAATGGAGAAAGATAAATACCGTATGATTTCACTTTTATGTGCAATTTAAAGAAGAAAGGAAGAAAGGAAAGAAAGAGCAACCAAGCTCATAGATACAGAGAACAGACTGGAGGTTGACAGAGTTGGGGACAGGGGGTGGATGAAATCAGTAACGGGACTCAAAAGGTACAAACTTCTGGCTATAAAATAAATAAGTCATGGGGATGTAATGTACAGATATAATATACAGTCTATAATACTGACCTGCATATTTGAAAATTGCTAAGACTGCAGATCTTAAAAGTTCTCATCATAAAAGAAAATTCGTAACTATGTTCAGTGACTAGACTTACTATGGAGATCATCTCACAATAGATATACATATTGAATTACTATGTTATACACCTGAAACTAACAGGATGTCCATTATACCTCAATAAGAATAAAAAACTAAATAAAAATTAATTAATTAATTAAAAGCAACTGCAAATTGAGTCCACATCCATAGTGCCGAAGGCCAACACTCAGGAGGGTGAACAGATAAGAAAACCAGACTCCAGCTAATGATAAAGAGCAGCCCTTCCTTCAGCAGAGTCCTCCACCCCAACATAGGTGTGTCCCAGGAGTCAGAGGAGAGGTTTCTAGAGGTTGGTTCCCAGCTGAACAGAAAAATAATGCACAAGGGAGGATATGAGATATTTATAGTTATGCCTCAAAATAAGTAGAGAGCCAGCCAGTCAGTGCCTTGCAGCAGACCTCTCCTCCCAAATTCCAGGCCGGGTACCAACGATAACGTTGTTTGCTACAGTCTAGCTAACTTTCCTAGGGAAAGAAATGATGGGGGAAAAAGTACATCATCAATATTTATCACTGCCTTAAACAACAATGATAAAACCTGAGCCATTCGTGGGTGTGGAACTGCATGGACGCTGGCAAGGCTGAGCATCACCGCGCTGTTCTAAGTCAGAGCGCTGAAAGCATCAGAGGGGCCGTGACAGGCCTCGTGGGAAGCAGCAGTGGGCCAGGCACCTGAGCAGGCCAAGCACCACCTGGAAGTACAGGCTAGTTAAAATGCCCAAAGGTAGGAAGGTCCCTGTTTCACAGGGTCACTAACTGCTCAGCGGCCCTCACCCGTGCGGCCCTGCCTGTGTGGATGAAGCCCACAGTGCAAGTCTTCTTGCAGGCCCCAGCCTGGCTTCTCGCTTAGTGATGGTGTCCAACCTCTCAGTCACTGTCATTCCTAGCTCCTCCTGTACAATTATTCAAATCTTCCCTTATTGTTCTCACTACCTCCTTTCTCTCTTGGAATCCAATTCACATTGGGTCTCTGAAAGGAATGGAAACGCTAATAACTAAGAATGTTCAGTACTTCTTTGTAATAAGTGGCATTTCTTTCTTAGCACATGTCATATAGACTCCAGAATGTCTGTCGCTGGTCTGGAAGGGGCGGAGTCCCACCCAGCAGATAGCTTATGCAAGGCCTGGGACATTCATCTCCTAGGGTTGGCATGACAGAAACAATAGGTAAATGTTTCTGGGTACAAGGGCACAGGGCAGACAGGAACTATCTTGATTACTTTCAATTAAAATAGTTTTACCTTTGCTAGGGTATACATTTGGAAGCAAAACAGTCTCTCAACATCACTAAAAATAAAGTATTCCTTTCTGTTGATTAGCCACATACTCTGAGCTGCCTTTTTTTCTTTGGGAGAATGAATAATATATGCAGTATAACAAACCTGGGTGTTTTCTATTTCCAGAGCCTCTATAAAGCACCACGTAAACACTTGAACGGTGGCAAGTACTTCTGGGGCTCCATCGGTGTTCAGGAGTGCATACCTGAGTAAGGCAAAGCCAGATCACAAGACATTTAATGATTAATCTGCTGAGCACATGAACCTGAACTATATAAGGGAAGAGTGGAAACATTCCTTTTGTGCCACAAGCTTCAGCAGTATCTCAGCTTATCAGATATCAGTCCGTGTGTGGCAGCAGGAGAAATCTGTTGCTTCTTTTCTAACTACTTCAGAATTGTGACGTGTAGCACTCCCTTCCTTGGTTTTAAATTATTAAATGCTACATATCCTTTCCACACAGGCCTGAGTGCTCTCTGCAAATATTCGCACACTATGCCCAGACATGCAGCAGCAACAGACCTTTTGCTTTTTCAAGTGAAGAAAGAGCTGGCAAAGGGGGAAATGGCTCCGTCAAATCCACTCACCAAAGTAGTGGAGCTGGTTTGCTTTCCATGCATTTCCACACAACCAACTTTTCTTATGTTTAAACAAACAAACAAACAAAAAACAGCTCAAACTTTGCTAACAGCTCAAACTTTGCTAGCTTTAAACTAAAGACAGCATTCTGACTTCTTATTTCTATGCTTATTTAGCTTAAAGTTGTTATGTTTCAAGACCCACCCAAGTGCTGGGTTATTGCTGTTGTAAAAGTCCCTTTCCCAGTGCCTGCTGCCCGCTCTGCAGGCCCTACTGCTGAATGTGTGTGTGTGTGTGTGTGTGTGTGGGGGGGGATATCCTGGTCAGACCAGCAGCTCTCAAACAGGCCAGAGACCCTTGCCCCGAGACAGCTCCCAGAGAGGGTCAAGTCTCCCATGACTGTCAGCCCTACCCTAACCTGCATCCTCTTGTCACCTGTAAATATGAAGCATTTCCAGGAAGCACTCAGATTTGCCAAATAAAAGTCAGGGTGCTGTAAGATAACTCTCATAGCTGATCCTACCTTTCAGAAGAGCTCTGCTAAGATGGTATTCTTCATTTATTCTTGTTTTTCCTCAGCTTTAAAATCCTTTAAAAAGATCGGTCAGCCCTCATGTGGTGAAGGGGTGCACTGCTACACTTTATTTTGAGCCGAGAAAAATCCTCCATGAGTATTTAAAGATATAAAATCTAATTCAACTCTTTCTACCATCATTAGAATTTTAAATGGGTAAACAAAATTATCTTAATTCTTATGCACTGGTTTTTAAATATACACTGATTTTTGGGTTTTACCAAAAAGCTCAGAGGGTAAGATGGTATCAGAAAATAATTTCCCCATGCCACAGCCAGAGACCACCACAGAATTTTTTACTTGTATTTGGAAATTGGGCATTTTAAAATCAATTATTAGCAGAAACAGCACAACACTTACCTGAACATTTCATCCACAACTCTGAATATGGCAGGATGGCAGGCTGCTTCGGGCTGTGAAGGAAAAGACCACGAGAAAGTAAAACATCAGAAGCATTTCATCAGTAACAACTTGCTATTATCTGGCAAATGAGTTGTCTAGAACTGCTGGTGTCTACAAAATGGGCATAATCCTTTGGGTTAGAGAAGATGAACAATGCCCTGCATACAAATGCAAACAGTGGTTCTCCTGGGGCAAGGGGCTTATAGGCAAGATTTATTTCCTCTTTATGTTCACATATGTTCCACATTCCTACAGTAAGCCCCTATAATCCAGGAAAAAAGAGTCAGCAAGTACCAGGAAGAATTTAAAATACTTTCTACCAGCATGCTGCAATGAAGACACCTGTGTCTGACCTCTTCACATGAACTGGAAGTACCCCAGGCTCAGACCTGGGCTGGCTGTCTCTGCACCCTGCCCATTAGGCGGTGAGTGCACACTGGTTTGATACTGAGGAAAGCGGTGACCACTGCCATGCTGGACTCAAGAATATCACATCTCAGTGCACCATGAATTTAGCAGTTTAAATTATTTAGGATGAACAGAGGTTAATACAAAAATTAAGATGCCATAATCTCGAATGATAAAAGTGATCTAATTTATTCCACAAATATTTTTGTGACAGGTTTCAACGGTTTAAACATGTAGAAACTAACCTATTATGGCCTAGGCGGGGCTTTAGTTGGCCTGATCCAGGTTCCGTATCTTTTTGGCCAGAGCTCAAAGCATGAGATGAAGCCAGATGAAAATGCCATTTGTGCTCTAAATCAGGTATTTTCTAGTAGCATCCAAGTGGCAGTGGATTAGGCTCTTTAGGGAATTTCTTTTGAGTCATTTTATGCTTGATATGATGAGCTTTGGGAAACATTTATTTATACCCCATACCCCATCCCAACAAGAAAGAAAGAAACAAGGGTATGCTTTGTCCCTCAACTTTTCTGGATCACACTGAGGAAAGAATGGTGCCTATCTCCACACTTGCCAACTGTTGGCTCTGCACAGGTGTTTTGAGTTGTAACATTGAATGTGTGCCATCTAGTGTTCACAAATCGCCACTACATGCTGTCACAGAAGGCCCCAGGCAAGAGCATCACCACTTGTTAAAATTATGGGTGATATCCTTTTAATTATTTGAAGGGATTTGTGATTTATAAATTACAAATCTCTACTCTTTAAATAGAGTAATCCATGCTCCATAATTCTTCACTGATGTGCATTTTTATCTAAAAGAATCCAACTGAAAATGTTCATAGATCAATTCATTATGTACTCAAGAAAGTAATTTGCCAGAACCATGGTTTAACACAGGAGAGGCAGGTTATTTCTTGGCTTTGATCTCAGGCAAGTCATTTAATCTCCCTGCTTCTCAGCTTCACTGTAAATAATAACAGTTATTAACAGGTCACTGGATATATGCCCAGAATATATCATAAAAGTTTCTATGTACTCATAATGGAAAAATCAAACAAGAAGGGAAAAAGCAAACTGCATGTCTGGAGAAAAGTGATTCATCAGATTTGCCAAAACAGCTTTTCAGTTTCATATATAGACACTAGGCCTCTGAACAGCGTGCTTACGGCCACACAGCACTGCCGTGCCCACAGGCAGGCAGAGCCTGAAAATGCACTGGTAGAAAACCAAAAGTAAATGGTAAAATCGAACCATTCCTATCGTTCCAAATGGTCTGACTACTCCAGAGCCACACTATAAACTTGATGCTAATAGAAAATCATTCGATACTAACTATGGGGCTTTCCAAATGGAAAGGAAAGGATGACCCAATGTGTAGAATTGGGCTACCATGCAAATCACAGGGAAAAGCAAGAAAGTTCTAACTCAATTTGTTAAAAGAAGATTAGATCTTGGATCTACTTTTCTTTTATACAATGTTTTCTAGCAGAAGCACTTAATTCAGTGTTTCAAAGATCTCCAGACGGCATGAAACCTGCCTGAGCCCTGCACACCAATGCACTTGCCTCTTCAATTTCCCTCTGTCCAAATATTTCAGACCTTTGGTTGCTCTCAACCTGCTTCCACAACTTGTTTAGCTTTAAAAATGGGTAGGATGCCAGGAGGCAGGGGAACCCAGCAGAACCGTTTATTTAAAACCAGTCTCCCTTGCTGTCCCAGAGCTGTGAACAGTTTTTTCTCACCCATGGCCTTTACTGACGGTTTTTAAAATGAGACTCTTTACACTTCGCGAACACATCATTTCAGGGTCATTGAGTCCCCTCATGAAGCCCAGCATGCTCACAGGCCAGGCATGTGTCCCCAGTCACATCAAATCACAAAAGTAAACGTAAGCTGCTTTTCTTATCAAGGGAATCCTCCAAATAGAATTAAAGTCTTAATTTATGCTTCTTTGGAAGTGAGGGAAGAGGCAGACATTTTTACCTCTCTGTGTCCTGTCTGGTTTGTAGAAGGGGACCCTACAGTGACACGCCCCAATGTACTCTGCAGCCCAGAGCTCCAGACCCAAGCTCTGAAGCTCCGCAGTCTGGGCTATCATTTTTCCTATAAAAATGAGGAAAGAAAACCTTTCTTGAAGTCCATCTGTTTGTATGTTTTTTTCCATGCTACCAAAATCTGTTCCTTCTCAAGCTCTTCTCTTCTCCATCTGGCCTAATAATTTCCACGAACTGATTATCTCAAGTCTAGGGAAACAATGTCCGGGAAACCCTCAATAACATGAAGCATACCGCCCAGTCCTTTCACTGAATACTGGAGGATGGACAGCTCCCTTTTCTCATGGACCAGCTTGTTCTGCAGGGTATGCAGCCCTTCCTATCTCCCACAGCTATCCATAACTCACTGTTACCCTCTTTGCCTAGAAGGGCAGCTCATGCCCACACACAGTCAACACAGAAGAGATGCGCCATGGCAGGGACCTCTCGGTTGCACTGTAGGCAGAGGTGAAGGGAGCCAGCTTGTCACTCTGTACTGTGAACTGGACAGGTGACACCAGTGTTTGCTCTCCGCCCTCCATGACTACCTGTTACTTCACCTTGATTCATCAATGATTATTACAAGGCACTTGCCACCCAAAAGAACAGAATTCTCTGTGGACCGCAGGCTGACGCTCTAACTGCTGAGCCAAACCGGCCAGGGCAGAACAGAATTCTCAAGAAGAAATCTCTCCTACTGTTTTCTGATTCTGTGTGTGCATGTGCAAGGGAGGAAGTCTAGGAGTGGGCGGGGAGAAAGGGAATACACACCAGAGAGGGAAATCATACTACGATTTGAAGTAATTCACAGAAAAAATTGAATGCCTCTTATAAAAACTAAAAAGGCAATAAACAAATTCTAAAGCCTTTTCATTTATCACCCTTCACAGATCTTTTTTCCTAAGAAATAAAGAGGGAAGTTGCTGATGAGAGAAGAAGCTGGTTGGTGTTCAGGAAGCCTAGAAAAGATCCTCTTTCACAGTTTATTTCAATGCAGTTTAAATATTTTACTCAGGAATGGTCTTTTTCTAAAGAAATGACTGATTAGAAGCCTTCCCTCCAGTTTAGCCACCAATCAGCAACCCTGCCCCACTGTGTAGCTGACCCTCAGGAGGTCCTTATGTTAATATATGCATGTTAATTACAGGATTGCTACATTCATCAAAAAAAAACAAAACTTTTTCCCTGGTGGGGCAGCTCAGTTGGTTAGAGTGTTGTCCCACTACCCCAGGGCACATGCAAGAATCAACAATGGATGTATCAATAAGTAGAATGACAAATTGATGTTTCTTTCTTTCTTTTTCTCTCCCTTCCTCTTTTTCTCTAAAATTAATCATTTAAAAAAAAACTTTCTCCCCCAGCTGGTGTGGCTCAGTGGATGGAGCATCGTTCCGTGCACCAAGAGGTCACTGGTTTGATTCCCAGCCAGGGTACATGCCTGGGTTTCGGGCTCGATCCTCAGTAGAAGGCACGCAGAAGGCAGCCGATCGATGTTTCTCTCTCACTGATATTTCTATCTCTCTCTCCCTCTTCCTTCCTCTCTAAAATATCAATAAAAACATTTTAAAAAATTAAAAAATAAATTTCACCTTAAAAGAGGATTCTTCATAAGATTAATTTCAACAGTAAATCTCTTTATTGTAAAAAACAATTTGCTTTAAAAATCTACTGAAATAAAACCCTTACATGTATCATGTAAATATGATACCTTTATAAATATGCATTTCTTATTACACCATTTTCTTCTTTTTTACTTTCAAAATACTAAACACAAGACCATAAATATCCTTTTTACATTTTTGGGTCCATTTTGTTACAAAACATTCAAGTTTCTTTCAATAAATTTGAGATGAAAAAATATTCTTTCTTTATAATTTTTACCAGATGTTGTTTACACTTCAAGAAACATTTTTCAGTACTGCATAATACAATTATTGTTTAATTAGTGATAAATCTGTCAATTCTGGGTTTAAAAACAAAACCTTAACAAGTACCAAATGTACTTTGTGTTTTAAATGTACCCGTGCTCTCTCAGGGCATTCGGACTCAGGCATGCTGTTCTGGGTGCTCAACAAAACCCCTCAGTCTGAAGTTCCTCTTTCTAGCCTGGTCCAGGGGCCTCTCCTCAGTTAGCTTGTGCAGCCGGAGGCCCCTGACAGCTCCTCAGCCCCCTGCTGCTTCCCAGCTCAGCCTCTGAGTGGCATTGACCTCTCAAGTCGGCCACTGCCCTATTTTTATTATTTATTATTTAATTTTTTTTCTTTCTCCCTTTATCTCAGATTGAAAAGTCCTCCATACCCAACAGTGACAGCAGAACTTGCAATCTGGGCCTTTTTCTTTACAGAAACAATGCTGGGGGATCTGGTGCCCCCTTGAGGTCGACACTGGAAAGTGCAACTCCTGTCAGAGATCAGATTCTTTACATTTTGGCCACAATCATAAGCTGCCACCACCACACTTCCCTATTCGACCACTGCTAAATTATCTACGTCAGCACTTCTTAAATTTCATGCACTACATTAAAGAACTGAAAAAAGAAATGCCTAGAAGACTGCTAATGAAAAAGCAGG